AGACACCGCTCCAATAATATCAAGAACTAGCGGCCAGCCATGAAAAAGCGTTTCTCCAGCACCATGAAGTATTTGCAAGACACATTCTAATTGTCGCTGTCTGACATCTCCATGATGCACTGAAGATAATTCTGACAATGGTCCCAAAAGTAATGTCTGTAACTTCTGCAAGAACAAAATTAAAAAATTTATTTCTATTCATCAACCAATATTTAATAAATATAATAAATCGCATTTAGATTATTTTTTTTTATAATTAATTAATGATAATTAATAATTAAAAAAATATTTACTTGGTTATCACGTAATGGTTGTGGATATTTGTATTGTAATGCCATTTTTACAAGGTATGTTATTGCTTCAACGCCCCATTCTCTCATACGAATATGCGGATGTTGACATACTTCTAATAAATGATTTGTAAGTGGTCTCCATAAAACTTCTACGCGTGACAAATTTACTAGTCCAGTTTCTAAGAGTTTAGCTACAGCAAAAAGTGATGGTTCCTAAAAAATAAAATGTTATAAATGAATTTAAACATATCCAAATAAAAGCCAACAATTTTTAAAAGTTTTTAGAACATACTCTATTTGAATATGCTAATTCCATTGCTTCGTGACTCAATTTACAAAGAGCATCTATTAAATGGTGTAAAGCCACATCATCAAGATGCTGACTACTTTCAAATAATCTGCTTAACATAGCACTAAGTACAGGTAAGTCTGCCATTACAGCATTAGTTAATACTGCATTGGGATCAGCAGCAGATCTTCCAGCTTTCAAAGATCCACCAGTAGATGGTTTCAAACCAAGTATCCAAACAAGATGTTGAAGAGTGGTTAGTACTAAATGCCAAGCACTACCAAGTATACTGCCATGACAATGTGCCAGTGACAATAATGCACGCATACATTGAAGATTTTTTGCAGTTAACATAACAGGACCTTGATGTGCACCTAAGTATAGTTATTGTATTTAATATTTATATTTTATATTTAGTGATTATATAATAGTGCAACATGCTTGAGTGATGCCTAATACAATAAACGTAAGAGTATGTTGCACCATTTCGCATTATAGTTATTCGAAATTTTTATTGAGTCGTTTTACATATGAATGCTTCTTTTACATTCATATGTAAGAAACTTCTTTTTTTTTTACATACCAACAGGTAAAGAAGCTGTTGGTAAAGGAGTTCCAACAGCAACAACTTGATGTCGATGATCTGGTTCACCCATAGATAAATTATATTGATTCGATTCTTGTGTGCGTGCACATGGTATACCTTGAGGTGCATTATATAGTACTGTTAAGGCATAATGAGGAGGTAAAGAACCTTTACATATTGCAGTAATATATGCATCACGAGGACTTTGCAAATCCAGTTGACCACATAGAGCTGCATATGTTTGAATTGCTTTTAAAACATTTTCTGTAGCAGATTCATCAGTACTGAAAATATTTTATGATATTTATTAAACTATCAGGAGAATATGAATAATCGTAAAAATAATATACTATTATTTTTGAAGAGTACCTTGCATCGATCAATGGGCTTAATGCTGCCAGTAAACCACACCAACTGGAAGTGATCAATTGTACATGCAATTTTTGTTCAAATTCAGTCGGTTTATAATGACTTTCAACATTTTCTTCTCTTGTGCCATTAATTGCAAGAGCAATCGATCGTATTATATCTAATAGACATGCATAAGCTACACTAATTCCATAACCAATTGGTATTTGTGGTGGTTCAACTTTATCAAGCATTTCCAAACTGAAACACATATTTTTCTATACTTATAATTATGTAAATCGCACTGATTATATTTATAAAAATTTAATATTATCAATAATGATATTAATAATATATAATTACTATTATTATAAACACCAGTAATGCTGCTTCTACTATTATTACATTATTAGATTTATAGCAGTAAAACCAGTAATAACAACAGTGGTGGCAATAATACAATTAAAAATAGGAGCAATGCCAAATTATAAATTAGATTTTATATAATTTTATAATAATTCTTACTAAATAGATTTGGTATGTCCACTTGTAAATGATGCTACTACTGGTAACCAAATACCACGTGAATAAAATCCAGGTTGTGGAGATATACCAGGACCAACAGGCATACCTGTGAAGATTGGAGAGCCAGTACTTTGTGGTACTGGTGTACTTGTTGCTATATAAAATAAATTTATATTATACACATTCATCTATTATTATTTTATTATTAGATTTATAGTATAATTACCTGTTCCAGTTTGACCTATCATTTGAGGATTAACAAAAAGACTATGTACATAGGCACCTAAACTATTTACAATGTCCTGAAAAATATTTGTTGCGTGTGGTTTTAAATCATAACATTCACAAAAATTTGTTAAAAGATCAGCTTGTACAGTCATCTTATGCAATACTTCCAATGCTAAAGCTCTTTGCCAAGTAGGTTTGTCTGGATCCAAAAATTTAACAATTAAAGACAAAAATATTTCACACTCCGTTACCTAAAATTAAATAATACTTATTAGGATATTATTATAAGTACAAATTGTTTTATATCAATGTGAAAAATATATACTCTTTTTTTATACTTACCAAAAGAGAATGATACTTTTGTATAAGGATAGATACAACTCTCAACAAACGCATACTGATCGGAAAATACGGTTTATCAAGTGGTGTTGCTTGTTGTATTGAAGCTGGCACAGAATTACGATATTTAATATTGGGAGAAAACAGTTTTATTACTAGTGCACACACTCTTTCCTTTAGTAAGAAACTAAATTCAGGGTGCTAAATAATAAAAAACAAATAAAATTATTCTACAAATATTTTACTTTGCTTAAATTAATTTAAATAACTTTTTTTTAAATACCTTAAAAAATACAGATGAAAAGTTGGTTAAAACAGATTCTAATAATTCTAAACCAAATGTTCTTGTCATTTCAGTAATACCTATGAGCCAATATGGTTGATCAGCATTTACCAATTGTACTAAATCCTTTAAAGAAATGACTTATTAATTCTCTTCTTATGTATGAAGACAAGATTAATTAAATTACCTGAAACATTAAATATGCATCAGCAGCGCAAGGTCCAAGACCTTTCGGTGCTTGATTCGTTGGAGTTTTCAATTCCTCCAAGTTAACTTCTTCAACTTCTGAATGATCAATCATCTGTTCATCTTCTGCAACTACTCGTTCAAATACTAATGATACCAGTTGTCTTACTGTTGCACCAGCTGTGTTTATTGTTGTACAATCCTTGGTAAAATGTAATCTAAAGCAAAGAACCAGATTCTGCAAGTAAAAATTTCAATTGATAACTTCAATAGATAAAGTTTTATTATATACATTTTATTTTTACAATTTAATATATATTCCTAATTACCCTTGCAAGTGTATCTCCATGGACAATAGTATTACTTGTAAGGAGAAGAGTTACAGTCTGTAAAACTTTAACTTCTTCAGTTCCTGTTTCCATAAGCATCCATAATGTATCTGTAATATAACGAGCACCTTTCTGATCTATGGCTTGCTGAGTTATTAATCGTTGCATTATACCTAAACAAAACTGAAAGAATTTAATAATATTATTAATTTTTAATAATATATAAATACAAAATTATATCAAGATAATATAATGTTTATATATTATAATAACATAATTATCAGAAGAGATACTAACTTTAATAATTTTTATATCTTTACTTTCACAACCTTGAACTAAAGGATATAAGATTTGATTTACAATATAATATATTGGACCTCCGGGCGTACTCATAGCAGTCCTTATTTTTGTTATTCCTTCTTCACATGACTGACAAAAATGATTTGAAATTAATATACATTTTTTGATTGTATTAAAGATATATATGAAATGCTTATAACATATAATTATTTCTATCGAAAACATATATAACATTATACTTATTAGTATAATATATAACTTCAACGTTAAACCTTGAAACTTAACCTACATTTATTCAAAGTAACGCAATAGAAGTGTATTAAAAGAATATAAGTAATTGTAACTGACCTCTTTTATTTGAGGATACTTTTTCTTACTTTCAGAAGCAAGAACCTTCAAGTCGGCTTGAAGGGATTCTAAGAATTTCGAGGTATTATCCTGATTATTTGCGACGAGTGTATTTGCCATCGTGACAAAGTATGTGTCCCCTTCTTAATAAATTTAAATATATAAAGCGTCACTCTAGCTCATGATAAATTAATACTCTGTCACAAATTCTAATACTTTTATAATAAATTTCATAACTACATAATAGTAGGTGAGTTGGCATATCGTATGCCGATTATCAGAAATGACAGCAACTGAGTGACGATCCATTAAATTTAGCCTTTACGAAATTATCTAGTTCGCAATTATGATTACATTGTTGGTTCTAACAAAATGTGTAAACTAGTCCTAATTCATTTTCCAATCACAAAGACTAATTCTTCTACGACAAAATATTCTTATCAAAAGTTTAAAACAATTGGATGAGACATTCATAATTGATACAAATAATCCAATCATTGTTAATATATATCTTCGTAACCTCCAATGATTGGCTATCTAAATTTTCAAATTTTATGTAACTATGTTTCTATTGGTAGCAGTAGTTGATGAAGGTTACATCGAAAATTCTTAAAATATAATATTTAAAAACGATGTTTGTGTATATATAATTTATAATTTATATGTTTTAACATATTATTATAATTAAGTTCATTTTTATAATAAAAACTATTTTATAATATTACAAATTTCTATGTATCTACAAGAAAACGTATACATATAAAAAGATTTTAAAATGATTGATTATAATCTTCTTTGAAGCAAGACGAGAATGATATATATATATTTTTCAAGTTTTGTCCAATTATTTTCCAATAATACGTAGTGATCTAAAACATATAGAAATGAAACTAGGCAAACTGGTATGTATATTTTCATCATGCGCTATCAATGTACCTGAAGTACACTCACTATACATGACTGAACTTCGAAGATTGACTGCTAAGTAGCGCTTTAATCAGCGTAAATTTTAGGCTTCAAGGTATTGCTTCTTCTTAAAAGATCGTAATATTTTCTAACCTGCTGCATTGACTGCGATGCTAAATATTTCATACTTCTGATTTTATGTATAATCTAATTTCTAATTCGAAATGCCCAAAAAATCTGGTAAATCTGTGTGGGGTAATCGAGGTGGACGAGCAAATAATACTGAAGAGAAACATTACTTTGGTAAATATTATTTACGATCTAACTATGCTTTATTTATAACACATAACTTCGTCATAGATAATTTATTCTTGATACTTTATTCGTCACTTGCGTTTTTTCTATATATTATAAAATGACTTATAAATAAGTATTAATATTGCATTTTTTAATGTAATCTCTTTAATAATAATTTTTTTTACTTCACAACATCTTTTGTTTTTGTAATTTCTTTTGCAAAGATTAAGTTGAAGTCCAATATACCTTAATAGATATTAAAAATACGAACAAGAAAAAAAATGTTATCTAATATTCTATTATATTGGTATAGGACATGATGATAGACTTGTCAGAATGGAAGGAAGATTATACAGTAATAGGCCTCGTGTATCATTTAAGCCACAACCAAGGCCTAATAGAGATATACCAAGAAGTTTATTAGAGGCTTATTTAGATGACGATATTGCAATGAGTGCAAATTCAAATAATAACAATAACAGACAAGTTATTGTAAGAGGAAGAGGAAGAGGCTTGTCTAGAGGTAGAAATAGTCCTTTACCACATAGAGGTTTTCGAGGAGGTATACTTCCTAGACCACAACTTACCCTTGGAGAAGCTAATTGGTACAAAATTATTGTAAGTATTAATTAGTCATACATACACACATATACGCATATATATATACATATTAAATAATATTTATTTTTCTTGAGATACCATATGGACAAAAATATACAAAAGATTATGTAATAAATAATCTTTTGAGTTATATCACTCCAGAAACTTTTGTGCCGATTATGGTAAGCATTACTTAATGTTTTTGAAAGTACATACATTATTTAATAAAAAGCTTTAATTTAAAACTTCTATTTATAGTACAAAGCTATGGGAAGTGAAGCTGTTTTCTACGTCGATGATCACAAAACAGCAAATGCACTTCTTAATTGTGATCGTAAAATTACAACAACGGAAGGTTTTAAGCTTCAAGTTAGAGTTAAACCAGGATTTCCTCAATGTGAAATTAATGATAAATTAAAAGAAAGATTAAAGCAAGCTATGGTAAAACGATATGTTCAAGAAAACAATGCTTTAGATTTGTCAAGATTTCATCAGGATCCAGGTTAGAATCAAGTCTATTATAAAAAATAAGTTTATTGTTTATTATTTTTATTATTTCCGTATTACAGATCTTGTTGCTGACTATTTTTGTGCATTGTTTCGACCAGTTATGTTACTAACTGTACTGGACATTGTCTCAGAACATATTCCCACATTAGAAGCTTTAAATTTAGATGGCAACAAACTTAATTTAATTGAAAGACTCAATGTGCTTCACAAAAAATTTCCAAAATTGAAAATATTGTATATAGGTGATAATAAGGTAATAATGTATTCATAAATTTAATGAAAGAAACAAATACTAAATATATTACTTTTACATGTATGATTTCTAGATAAGAGAAATTAATCAATTGGATGTTTTAAAAGATGTGAAACTAGAAGAGTTACGGCTAGCTGGAAATCCTGTGTGCATCAAGTATAAATCTCGACAGAGTGATTATATTAGGTAATGTATTGTTGAAATGGTAATGTTGTTTTTCAAATTAGGAATTTCTTTAAAATTTTATATATACATATGTACATCACACGCACATACACACACACAAAAGATATTGTATTAATTACATGTTCAGATTTTATGCTGCTCTTTTTTCCATACATTTTTATATGTAATTAAATTTCATTACATATTCAAAATTATATAAATATTCAACAATACTTCTAATGTTGTCTAATGTAAGTTCACATTAGTTCATGAGCATATACCGATAGTAAGTTTTTCTATTATCTTAATTATTAAATTATGAAATAATAAGGCAAATATTTTTGTTATTTACAATTAATTTGGAGCTTCCGGGCTTCTGGCTTTTCTTTCTTGGCAATAGTGATGTGCGGAAAAGATTTCCCAAGCTCCTGAGACTGGTAAGATATATTTTGAAGTTAAAGCTATATTATATATATATATATATATATATATATATATATATATATATATATATATATATATATATAATATGGTTAATGATATAATTATTTGAATATACAACAAATATATATAATATATTTTGAAAGGATGGTATGGAGTTACCACGTCCAATCTTATTCGATGTTGCGGATGATACATCAAAGATACCTCCTACCCAACGAATATTCACTACAGACACCAAGGCCCAAGAAGTAGCAAGTCAATTTCTGCAACAGTATTTTATGATTTTTGATAGTGCTAACCGCCAACCACTGTTGGATGCTTATGATGAACATGCATGCTTCAGTTTAACAGTAACTACTCATCCTCATAATCCGAATAAGTAAGTCAATATTTCATATTAAAAAGATCATAAATTATGATTTGAATGTATAATAAAATAAACATCCACATATAGAATTTTATTTATTTTAACTTTAAATAGAATTTAAATCGATCTTAAAAATTACAGCAATATATAACTAAAATATATTACAAATTTTTATTTCTTTTTATAGATTGAGTACATACATCTTGGAAAATAGAAATTTATTTAGAGTAAACGATACTAACAAAAGACAAAAATTATTAAAACAAGGAAGATTGCCTGTGGTTTCATTTATCTCAGAAATGCCACAAACTAGACATCATTTACATACATTCACAATGGATATTACTTTAGTTACTGTAAGATATTTAAATTCATATGGAAATGAAACTATAAATGTATACTAAGTATATGATATATTTTAAATTAATCTGATTATTTTCTAGGAAGGAATAATGTTAATCACAGTAACAGGATTATTTAAAGAGCTGAATAGTAAAGATGAACCTTTACGATATTTTAACAGGACATTTATTATAGTGCCAAAAGGAAACGGATATTGTATTCTTAACGAACAGTTACATATCAGTCATCCAACTGAAATGCAACATAAACTTTTATCAAATCATCCTGCAGAAGCACAAATGTCTGAAGGCCCCTCGATATCTAAAACATCAAATTCTGGTGTAGAAGCAACAGTTCCTCAATTATCAGAAGAAGTAAAACAACAAATGACTGTAACATTAAGTCAGCAGACAAACATGAATCTGGAATGGAGTTTAAAATGTTTGCAAGAAGTTCAGTGGAATTATGAAAATGCTGTATCTGCATTTCAAGAATTTTTTAAGCGAGGACAAATACCATCAGAAGCGTTTAGTAAGTAAATTTTGCTATCACTAAAAAGGTAGAAAGATGTTTCAGATTCATGTCTTTCTGCTTGAAGACATATTACTTAATATGAATAAGGTGCTGAAGTCTTGGGTATTCATAAAATTTCATAATAATATTTTATATTTCATTAATTTTAACTAAAGAAAAATGAAAAAACAATTAAATGTTTTTAATTCATTATTCTTTAGATAAGATGTTTATTCAAGACATTTGCAATTAAACATAGATTAGAATATAGTATACAACATCAGCTTTAAGTTTATATTCTAAATCAGAGATGTGCAAACTTTTTGTGGAAAAAGAAATTATTTTCCTACTATTGTTATTTTATTATTTCTATTAGAGTATGCTGACTTCTCCAGCATTTTCAAATGCTATAAATCACATATGATCTCTTTATTTGTAGACGAAAGATATCATAGTGTGGTAAAATAATAACAGTAAATAAACGCTTGCTGCTCTGGCATGCAATCATGAAAGGCAGTAACTCCAAGAGAGTTAATTAAAAAAAAACACCTTCAAAGTTTTTGAGGAGTTATTTTAGACTTGTCAAAAAAATCAAACGAGAACAAATTTTTCGAAAATACTGCCTTTATTCTTTTTATTGGTACAAAATGCTTTTCTTTATGATGTAGTACCCTGAAAACGTAAAAGCAGTATTTAATTTTCTCGAATAATATTTTGTAGGATTTTTTTTTTTACTGCTTTTCTTTATAGCATGTGATAGAGCTTTTCAAGACAAGTCCAAGTATAAATAAGTCAGAATGTCAAAAAATCATAAATACTGCTTTTGTTAATTGCATGACAGCGTTGGTAGAAGTGAGAATTCGCTAAAGAAAAATAAAATAAATAGTGAGAATAAGGAATAATTGGCTCTGTGAGCCAACTTTGCACATCTCTGTTCTAAATAATACAAAAAATGAAAAAATATCACTTAATATTTTTTCAATGCAACTATATGTCATCTTTACAAAAATTTCACTTTGCAAATTACATATAACATATTGCTGCATATGCAATATCTGCAAATTGCTTATTATTATATTTCTGTTGGTTATTCATGATTTATAATATTTTATTACATTGATAAAAAAGATTCAGCTTAATTTTTATATTGTATCATCATGAATAGTCACTTTTGATTACAAAGCTATACATGAAATAAATTCTTTTCCATGTTTGATATAGCTATAAAATATTTGATCTGATGGTATATAATATGTGGTGTGTGTGTGCAAAATAAGAAAAAATACTTTGTTTCTTTTTCTTTGTACATAAATCTAATCATATGTTACAAATAACACATGTCATCTACATATTATATTTGTCTATCCTATTTATAAACTTTCAGAGTTATATGTGAAAATGAAGTTTCAAAGTATTACGTATGTAATACTATTTTACCTATATTGCTTACTATGTTTGTTTCACAATTTATATAAGTTAAATTTGAAAAAATAAATTTCTTAAGAATGTACTTCAGCATACATAGTAATAATATATACTTATATTATATCACTAAAATATTTTATAAGAGATTAATATTACTCTGAAAGTAAAATTACTCACACACACATACAGTATGTCATTACAAGATAAAAAAAAATTGTTTAGTAATATATTAATTTTAAATAAGCAATATACGTAAACAAATTTTACATATCTCAAGACAAAATATTCGAAAAAACTCTAAGGATACGTAAATTACATAAATTTTTCAATAATTCACAGATGAGATATGTATAATTATAATATCAACGCAGATCAATTATTCTTAAACGAACATAGTAAACAAATTTTATTTAATTTTATGGAAGTAAACAGAAATTACTAAAAATTGTTTTAATTACAAAATTTTGTTAGATTTATACAATAGATGCGTAATTACTCATACAAAAAAGGTGAATTTATGGAAACCAATGCTATAGATATATTATAAGAATTTCTACATTTTTGCAGGAAAATTTAAAGTAAAATGTGAGTATAAATTGTTCGTAAATATCTGAAGTTTTTTTTACCTTTTTATCGTATTTTTATGATTATAATTATTATCACATCATTATTATTATTATTATTACTATTATTATTATTACTATTATTATTATTATTATTCTTATTATTATTATTATTCTTATTATTATTATTATTATTATTATTATTATTATTATTATTATTATGAATACTGTTATTGTTAATATAGTATAATTGTGGTTAAAAATGCGTGAGGTTTGAAAAATTAATATTTTTTGATTTATTTCTTAAAAAATATCATATAAACGTTTTTTTCATGAATGCAAAAATAAAAATGACTTCCAGGTGCACATCAAATTATAGACTGTGATACAATTAATCACTAGTCAATAATTTAAAAGATTTATGGATACAATGAAAAACTCAAAGAGTTCATTGTCCATACCACCTATAAATGATTACAATGAACGACATGACACATGATATAAGCGTGGTATGTCAAACGCTTAAAAGAAAAAAAAATACATGTTTATGCTGAACAATTTATAGCCAGCAAAACACTAAGCACCTGGGTAGAAAAAATCCACTATATAAATGTGGTATTCATATATTATGATAATAATATACTTATATATACATACAAACATCATGCACATAAAAAACTATAATTGCATTCAAAACTAAAAACCTAAATTATATGGACAGGATTAACTTGGGGAGCATTTAGCAAAATAGCTAATAATGCTTATAAAAATAGATTTCTATATAATTTTGCTTTTTCTTTAGCTTATAAAAAAAATATTAATTATATTCTATATATTACATTTTATAAAAACATGCTTCAAATAATTTATACTCACATTTCACAGAAAATTATAGTTGTAATTAGCAGTATATACAATTATATTTTTGATTTTTATTTTTTTAGAAAATAAATTGTGATATATATAGATAATAAAACCTTAGTATGACTACTAATATTTTTTCTAACATTGATTTTGTAAATTAACAAACGTAAATAATTAATACATTTACGTTTATATTTATAAAGAAGTTCTTCTAACACACACATACACATATATATAAATTTATTCTGTTAAAACCTTTGAATCCAAATTGATGAATATTAAAATCCTTTATGTATGTATGCACACATAAATGTTTGTATTTGTTTGTATACGAAGGTATAAATATCGTTGTCTATGTATAAATTACTCATATCATTGTTAGTTTTGTAAATATGAATATACAATAAAACGAAAAAATATCATTTGTATATATAAAATTACATTTTTGCATAAATTTAATATACCTGTACACACAAATCATAATTTTATAATATATAAATTTATTATATAAAACTTCACATTATAACAAACGATCAAAGATAACATTATTGATTTTTTTAAATAAAAAATCTTCAAATACTATTATGAACAAAACTATTTTATAAAAATAATACGTTGATTGTAAGTTACAATACACATGTTTCTTAAACATATTATATACTATAAACTTCTGTATCGTTTACACCTTATGTACATTATGTTATTATTATTCCTTTTTGTTTAAAATAAAATTCGTGGTCTTTCAAAGTACGTTCGTAAAATTGTTTTCTTGGATCAATTGGATTTAATTTTGGACACTGAAAAACAGTGTAATATATTTTATATATGAAAAAGAATTAAATATATATTATTACTACAAAATAATACTTATTAAAAACGTACACCAGATGATTTCATTAATTCTATTGCCTTTGTCATTTTCTTATTTAAACTTTGCTCTCTGTCTCCATGAGCAGGATGTGTTGATAACCAAGGTACAATATTGGATGCTAACTTCATTTCTGAAAGCATTCTCATAGTACCCCAAAATACAACTGCTTCACGTACATCTACACAGGCCTTGAAAAAACCATATGTTCTACATTTTGTAGATTTTGTATGATACAATATGTCTCTAAGATTGGAACTACTAAATGACTTACTTTTGCAGCTAAATTTAATCCCACCTCATCAGCTTCATTTTCCAATGATCTACTATATGGTAAATTATGTAAAAGATTTACGATATGTTGCCCAATCATGTGTAAAAAAAATGCTAATGAATCAGGAAAACTTGCCCAAAGTAATAAAATGGGAATTGTCATTAAAACATCTATTAATAGTGCATGTGAAAATTGTTCAACCTATTGATACATAGAAACCTTATTAGTTATTACTAGCAGCTTACAATAACAGAATTGACATTAGAAATAATTTGTTATTTTTCTATTAATTACCGAATGCAATAACAATGCATGTGCCATTTCATGAGCAAGTATAATACTTAATTGATCATCATTGTCGACAATGTTCAGAACACCCAAGAAGAAAAATATATTTCTTTCCTAAAAATTATCTAACTTAAAATTATAAAAATATTTAAATATAAAATAGAATTTTCCTTTCTTTGATACGTGCAGGTAAAACATAAGCATTTTTTATAGGAGAATCGACAATAGTTAACGTCCAATTTTTATTTTCAACAGAAATCAAGTCTTTATTTTTAACCAATATATTTTCTATAATTTTAATAAGTCTTTTATATGCAGGATGATCTTTTCCTACCAATGATGCCTTATGTTCCTCTAAATGCTGAAAGATAAATAAAATGTAACACTTTTTCAGTAAGATATTTTGTTAATTATGTTTATAATTAAACATACAATAACATATGTAACACCTAAATCTCACCATTTCAAAAATTAATTGGCCTAATGCAGCTTGTTCTTTTCTATTAAATATTATAAATCGCTTTCGATTAGTTATTGGATCAGTTTCAATGTGCATTAAATAATAAACAATAAACATCAAGCATAATAAAACCAACGATCCTAGAAAATTATAAATAGAAAATCGATTTCTATAATATTATTATTTTCATAAAATATATTAATTTATTTACCTAAAAATATATTTCTGTTTTCTCTAAACAACAATTTATATTGTTCTTGTTCTTTTGTTGATTTCTTTTGCCACCATCGTTTAATACCACGTCCAAGTATAAATGCACTCAATCTCAAAATTGGACGTAAGATAACAGCAAAAATTGGTGGTATGCATAATTTAGATGATGTATGAAAATCACATATTTTTTGATAATTTATATTTTTTAATTGCTTTAAAGATAACTCTGTACGTAATATACAAATTTTAGAATATCTAATAGATTGATGATTTGGAATTATACAAATCATAGATTTTATTTTAAAATAGTGGATATGACGAAGTTTTATTGCTTTTTGTATCCAGAACATATTGAAAAATTACTGTAAAAATGATAGAATTATTCCTATCTTAGATTTGTTCAATAATCTTTTTCTAAAGATAGAAATAAAAATACAAAATAATTACAAAGAGAGAAAGAGAGAAATTATATAAATTATACAATATTTTCTCCAATAGGAGATATATATTCTTTTTATATTATGTGCATAGACATTTTTTAAATATATTTCATAATTATTTAAATATATTACAAAAATAATATTATCGACAATAGATAATTTATATTAAATCTATAAATCACTCCATAGAAATAATTCCTAAAAATAATTTATGTTGTACAGCCTTGTCGAACAATTTATTATTGTTTCAATTTCAATGTAATTTTCAAAAATACAATATTGAAATTATTGACTGAAATGTCAAACAAACAATGAAGCGTCTAACTAAAATTTTATATAACTTATAACGATCTTGTCATTGTAATAGTTTGCTTTGTAGCGTTATAATTCTTCGGTACATAGTATTATTATATAATATACACGTTTCTTTATATTTTTTAATATTTTTATAGAGAATAACATATTTATTAGAAGACATTATTATATTTTCATGTTTTTACTATGTTCATACATGTTATATAAATTCTCTAAATTTTATATGTTGACGTTTTCAGTTATATTAAAAATTACTTACATAAGACAAAATCCTTATTTTTTAAAATAATTTTATATACTTTATCATTAAATGAATTTGTATACACAGTAACCTTTATGCAATGAAATCTGAATAATCAATATTATTCATAGCACATCACATAAATTGTAATATTATCAGTGACTTAATCGTTTGAAACTTTATTGTATCAAAAAATTACGTAGCTTTTATAGTTATCGAACTTGAATTAATGCAGTAATACAAAAATTTCGTAGTTTTAATTTCTACCAGCATCAACACCACTATATTTTTCTAATGACTAGTTGGTAAGATAGAGCATGACATTTGAAAATGACAAAAGATTAATTTTATTTTTATGTAACGAGTTGGTAAGTATTCTACATTATCTACAGAATTCGGATAAATCGAAAAAAAACATATATGTACACATATGTATATATCAATATATATGTGTACGTGTATATATATTTTGTATGTTGCTATTTAATAATAACTCATAAGATATACATTAAATCTAAATTGCGTAAACATTAATGATCTATTTAAAGTTTAAATAGATTATTAAAAATAGGTTATTTAAAATAAAATGATTTATTTATATCATTAATTCGAAATAATTTCTGCTTTATTTTAAAATAAATTGTTTTAGAAAAAAATCTTATTCTAAATCTCATTCGAAATATCTTATACTTATTTATACTTTTGTAAATAATAATAAAACTTTAGATGTTATCGATCGGCGAATTTTCTAATATATATTTACGAACTACGAAAGCAATATTTGTTCGATCTTTATTTTGATATTTATTCAGATAAAATAGAAACCTATCTCTAGATAAAATTTGTAATAATTAAATGTTATTTTTATAACGATCAATATAATATTTATATATTATTTTTTTTTCGAACGTAATATATTTTCTATTTCTATTTCGTATAGAAACAAATCTGACCTCGAGTATAAACGATTGAATATAGGTAAATACAAATGTGTATAAATGTATATAAATGATTAATCAGATGAGTGAGACCTACTTAGAACTGAAATAATTTTTCAAATTTTAACAAATTATTTGAGGAAAAAAAAAGAAAAGAAAAACACTATTTATAGGGAAAATAAAAAATCTCCGATTTTAACACCTGATGTCGTTTTAACTTTTC